TTATGCATACTATCTGAAACCCATGTTGGAGTTTCTTGCGGAAAACCAGTCACCTTTTATGGTTGACATTTACCCCTACTATGCATACCGAGATTCCCCTACCAATGTTTCTTTAGACTATGCTCTTTTCCAATCATCATCTGAGGTCATTGATCCGAACACTGGCATGCTATACACAAATATGTTTGATGCACAAATCGATGCTCTGTACTTCGCACTGATGGCTCTAAATTTCAGAACCATCAAAGTTATGGTGACAGAAACGGGGTGGCCTTCTAAAGGATCTCCAAAGGAGACAGCTGCTACTCCTGATAATGCACAGACATATAACACCAATCTCATTCGCCATGTCATCAATGACACAGGAACGCCAGCTAAGCCGGGAGAGGAGCTCGATGTCTATATCTTCTCGTTATTCAACGAAAACAGGAAGCCAGGAATGGAGTCTGAGAGGAATTGGGGTTTATTTTACCCGGGTGGGACGAGTGTCTATAATCTGGATTTTACTGGAAAAGGTGTCACTGAGATGGCTAGCGGGGGAAATTCTACTAACAGTACCAAACCAACTTGGTGTATTGCTTCATCAAATGCTACTGAGGCAGATTTGAAAAATGCCTTGAATTGGGCTTGTGGACCTGGAGATGTAGATTGTACACCCATACAGCCTAGCCAGCCTTGTTATGAGCCTAATACTCTAGTTTCTCATGCATCCTTTGCATTCAACAGTTATTACCAGCAAAATGGAGCCACTGATGTTGCTTGTAGTTTCGGAGGGGCAGGACTTAAAGTTACCAAGGATCCAAGTAAGTTTTCCTTGGTTCTGAACAAATTTTAGCTCCTCAATCTGCACATTAAACTTGATTAAGCTACACGACATCCTTGCATGTGTATGTTACTAAACTTGAAGCAGGTATCTTGAAAAGTTGTATGAATATTCATTTCTATATCGGTGAAGCCTCAAATTTGATGTATATACTGCACAATTATATAACAGGTTGTTTATGGTAAATATGTTGATATTCAGAGAATGAGAGGAGGGAGGATAGCAGCTTATACACGCTGCAACATAATATAGCGTTCTCTTTTAATCCTAGGTTTATTTATGAGGAGATTGTGAGAACTTGTTCAATTGGCTTATTATTGTACTCCTATCAGTATAGTGCACTAAACATTGTCATGTTTACTATTGCAGGCTACGACAAGTGCCTGTATATGACTGCAGGGTATGTTCTACTGATTCCATTACTTCAATGCAATCTTTATAAATGGCTGACCTGATTTAATTTCATTAGTCATGTTAACTTCCTAACATTGTATTGCAATGTCTAATTTCATCAGGAACAAGAAAACTTCTGCTTCAAATAATATGAGTGCTACACCTGCAAAAGCCATATCAATTCAGAGGCACATTGCATTTGTTCCATGGATTACTGCTGGCCTGCTTTCACTTCTGCTATCACTTGTGTGAAATAACGGCTTTAAAGTTTCGGTGGCATTCAGTGGACGAGGATGATCAGAATGGATCGGACGCGTTATTTCCTAAGGTTGGGATTGTAGATGTGATGTCAAACATACTGCCCTGCCTAAGTTTTGTAACATGACCATGTAAATTGGATGGTCTAAAACAGTAAACCGGCATACATGTTACCACTGTGAATGTGGTTTAAGGCTAGGGTTTCTAACTGCACATATTGTAGTACGGACTACGGAGTAGTGCATGATAACATGATTTAGTCTGCTTAGAAGGAAGAAGTTCGTCTCACATTCTTGTCTAGAGTACAATTTTTTCGATCATCTTGGCAGGCCTTGGATTTTGGACTAGTGTTTGCACTCTTCAAATAGAGTCCACTTTTTTATTTTGGCATTCCATATCTATGATTGATAGGGTGTTGTCAAGTTTATTCTCACTCGACAGTATCTAGAATTCTAGATCTGAAAAAGCAAACAAAATTCAAACTCTACCCGAAATAATTGGACCAGAATTGAATTAACTCGATCCAATCCAAACTGACCTGATAATCAATGTTTCTAAATAATGATTATTTTACAATAAAACCGAAAATGATCCAACTTGATCGTCACCCTAACCCAAAATCAGCTCGGAAGAGCGTTGCTTGAAAATGACCCCATATGAATTGACATCCGTCCATATAAAAAGCAAAGCCACACACTCAAACATGATGATAACATTAAGAAGGATGGCACACACTTGTGGTTTACATATCATAACAACCTCCCACATAAGCAGGAGCATGTACTTCAGTCTTTCAGTTGCATGTACCTTTCATTTCACTCAATAGGCCTTTTCTTGGCAACTAAAGCTGATAAATCTAATACACATACATTTGCTCAAGATAAAATCTACTTAATTTTTTTTTTCTTCAATATTATTCATCCATAAATGTTTAATTTTAAACCATTATAGCTTGAAAAATCACCATGTCAGATGAAATTCTGGAATGTTGCATACCATACATTCAAGATCCTAGTGATAGATCATCAATTTCAATGGTATCAAAGCGATGGTACGAGTTAGATAGGCTAACAAGACGTAGTATAACAATTTATCTTTGTTACACCACGACGCCTCAACGACTCTATGATCGTTTTCCAAACATTGAGTCATTGAGGCTTAAGGGGAAGCCGAGGCCGGCTATGTATAATTTGATACCGGATGATTGGGGAGGTTTTGCTAAGCCTTGGATCGATGTATTGGGGAGTTTTCATTGTCTAAGCTCGCTTCATCTTAGGCGTATGATTGTTGCAGATGCTGATCTTTACACGATTGGTTCGGTTAAAGGCTGTTTCTTGCAATTGTTGAAGTTGGATAAGTGCTCTGGCTTCTCTACTGATGGTCTTTTGCATATTACTCGCTATTGCTCGTATATTTACCCACCCTTTTAAGTCCATTTTCATGTCATGTTCTGTTTCATTTCGGAATCAATAGTCATGTATATATATAGTTGTCGCGTAATCTATAATTTATAGTCTATAATCTATCAATATTATGATTAGTCTTTCTGAGATGCCATTTTGTGACAAGTTTTATTTATTAGCATATCTCCACAAGTCAGAGGAGCTAAATAGCGCGATGATTACCACTTTCGTGATCTTTTATCACTCATATGTAGAGAGTTATCTATGTATGTACCTAAGAATGTATTTTTGCCTAAATATGGTTAATATTTGGTGACTGATCAGCTGTATGAACTTGCTATTGATGCAGGAATTTGAGGACGTTGTTTCTAGAGGAAAGCAGTATAGATGAGATGAATGGTGAATGGTTACATGAGCTAGCATTAAACAATACAGTTCTTGAATATTTGAATTATTACATGACTTTTCTGGAGAAGATCAAAGTCGAAGATCTTGAACTTCTAGCCAGAAACTGTCCTTTAATCTCTGTCAAAATTAGCGATACTGATCTTTTTTGTCTTAGAAACTTTTTTCGTATAGCTGCAAGATTGCAAGAGTTTTGTGGGAGTTGTTTTGATGCAGAATTAGGCCTGTATTCTGATATTGTGTTTCCTACTCAACTAAGCTCTTTCGGTCCTATGTACATGTTGGACAAGTATTTGCATATATGTTTTCCTGTTGCAAACTCGCTCTGGAAGTTGGATATTGTTTATGCAACACTTACCTGTGGCGCTCAATGTGACTTACTACAAAGATGTCATAATTTACGAGTTTTGGAGGTATAAAACTTCATTTGAATCTTTGCTGTTTTTCTGTATGAACAATTTTTTTTAAGGATTGCTGTCTAAGATGAATTGAAAACGTTAAGACTTCATGCTGGCATCCCTATTTTTGCCACCAGAATTTCTGGCTCTTACTATTCTTGCTTGTTGTTTGAAAACAGACAACTGATGTGATTGGGGATCAAGGTTTGGAAGTGGTATCGTTAACATGTAAGAGACTAAAGAAACTTCGGGTAGAACGAGGGGAAGATGTGCCGACACTTGGAGTTCAAGCAGGTGCAGTTACACATAGAGGTCTAATTTCTGTAGCACAGGGTTGTCATGACCTGGAATACTTATCTATCAATGTGGCTGATATAGGAAATGAAGCTTTGGAATGTGTAGGTGCAAACTTGAATAATCTGAATGTTTTCCGGCTTGTACTGCTTGAGAAGGAAGAAACAATCACTGACCTCCCCCTTGATAATGGAGTACGAGCTCTTCTGCAGGGTTGTCAGAACCTCCGGAGATTATCCTTATACCTTCGACAGGGAGGCTTGAGTGATATCGGCCTCAGTTACATTGGTCAGTACAGTCAAAATGTGAAGAGAATGCTTTTAGGCAGTGTTGGAGAAACAGATGCAGGGCTTCTTGAGTTCTCTAAAGGCTGCCCTAGGCTTCGGGCACTTGAAATGAGGGCTTGCTGCTTTACAGAACGTGCATTAGCAATTGCTGCTAAACAGCTTAGTTCTCTGAGGTACATTTGGGTTCAAGGATACCGCAGTTCTGAAACAGGTACTATTGACTTGCTAGAAATGGCTCGTCCCTATTGGAACATTGAGCTGGTTCATGGGGACAACTACAATATAAATGGAAACTTTGTTGCTTATTACTCGCTTGCTGGACAAAGAACAGATCATCCAGAATCCATTATCCCCTTAGCTCTGCCGAATCTGTAGGATCTGTCAGGGATCCTCCGCTGTTAAATACTTATTTTTCATACTTATTTTGCATCTTCTTTCTTTGGATGAAAATTTTGGCTGCTGAGACCAATTTTGTTAGACTTGTCAGGCAATCAGATTGTTTCCAAGCTCTGTATTGTCGTATGTTTATGTTATTTTGTTGATCTTATATACAGAGTACTCGATATAAATTTTGCTAAACGTGATAAATAAGGTGTACTGAATTTTTAAAACTTTTGACAAGTGATTAGTTTACTGTTTGGGATATCAACTAGGTAAAATGTTCATAACCTCGTTATAAGCATACAAGTAGATGCCAATCGGATAGTTGACAAAGTTTAAGGGAGGCAAGAGCGGGAAATGACTGTGAATTTTTGCAACATACATCCCCAAAAGAGTGACAAAGATATACATAGCAAGATTAGCAACCATCATTCTTTAGGGCGGAAAATCATACAGGCACATAATAATGTAAAAATACTGCCAATATCGTCAATCAGCTAATTTGATACACATTAGCAATTGTAAGTCTTTCAGCATCTAGATAATTACACCTGAAAGTATCTACTCTTTGAGAGACCATAAAACGGAAGACAAAGGAAGCTATGTTGAAGATACTCAAACCCCGGACTTGTCCACACAGAACTCCACAACCTACACAATTGGTGTACAAAATTTACTGCACATCGTCAATAATGAATGTGATAAAAAATTAACATAAATGGGACGTTGTATGCCCCAAAACCCCAATTCCTCAAGAAACCAGACCGTCTAGGTACTGAAGAGGATCCCGTTCCAGAGGAATAAAGACACGACATGATCTAAAAGCACGCTGTCAGTTAACACAAAACAAGTACCTTCTTATTTACATGCCCTGCTCAACAAGGTAGTCACCAATCCTTTCTACAACCATATTGCATTGACCAGGAGTCATAGGCTCATCATAAATTCCTATTATCAAAGCCTGGTTGGTCTTTTTGATGGTTACACCTCCAGGGCCCTGTTAGGACATCATCAAATAAGATCAACCAGTTCACAATTCGAAAACTGAACCATACTAATGTTCTGCTTTACCTGCTTAACCTGTAAGTTCATTGATATGCTGTTGACACACACTTGAATTGGCACAATTTGACAGCCAAGAAGTATGGATTATATGTTATAACTTTCGAAAACTAGAAAAGGTGAAGGAGCAGGAAATTAAGAAAATACCTTCTTTCCTCTGATCACGTCTCCAGGCTCGCCTTGGATCACCATATATTTTGTGCCACCAAGATGTAAGCCAGTAGGAGCGAGAGATCCAGGTTCGTTAAAGTCCTTCATGATGGCACTTACCTCTTCAGGCTTAAGCTACAGCAGCATTAATTAAGAGTCAGAACAGCAGATAGAAAATTATTCATGCAGAAAAGTACAATCATCCCTAAGATCAGTATATATTACAATAAAACCATTCTTGTAATGCAGAAAAGAGTTTGGCCAACAAATTAGTTATGAATACTTAGCAAAAATTCTTGCAATATACTGATCAATAAATGAGTAAACAAACCAAAATGCCTGATTCATAAAAACAGCAGATCAGATAAATTAGTTTGGCAGCAGCGAAACTTGGCTTAATCATACAAACTAGTTCAGTACTTCAGTAGTTCTACAATTGATTATACTGATCAATATGTATAACAGAACTCTTGCAACCAAATTTGGTAAACAAAAACCTTTGTATATATGTCTCATTATTGTTTCATATCATAAAGGCCTAATTACAAGATGCTAGGTAAAGGTGAGCATGGGTCACGCCGTGTCCGAAAAGGCAGGCCATTAGTGCCATATACACCAGGTCGGATGGACCAGGCTTTGTCGGGCTGGCCCGGGGCCATAGCAGCTGCATAAGCCCAACCAAGATTGGCCAGCCCATCAATCCCATCATTAAACATCTCTACATACTATCACACAAACTCAAAATGTTTACAATTTGACCATTTCATGACTTTATCACTGAAAGGGCAATTCTTCCCAATTGATGACTTTGCTTAATCAAATCATAATATATGATACAAAAATGTAAAATCCTCAATCTGATAACATTAAAATACTAAGCAGACGAAAATTGTCCCGGATCATCCTAGAAAGCATATAATTGTAATTAAGAATATTCCAAACATGTGCAACATATTCTAGTGATTATTTTAAATAAAATAAAATTCAGAGGCAGTAAAAATTTTTCTTCGTACTGTATTAAACAACTGAAACGCAAAATGCAAAACTATAATAGTAGCATGTTATATTACTATGATAGTATGACACACAGGATGCAAACGAGCTTAGTCAATATCCGGGATCAAATCTCGTCTACATCACTATTGTATCGAAAAAACATGATTACGAAATAAGACTAGATAGGAGTAGATCGAGGAGACCTGAGGAAAAGAGGGGCTTTGAGCCCAAACGATGCCGTCGTGGCCGACGATAGCAGCGGAGGAGAGGTGGTTGCCTTCGATGTCGCACATAAGATGATCATCTACGTAAGTTTGCCACGACATGATTCGATGAATTGATGCCTCTTTTTGATTGAATTACTCTTATTAACTTTGACTTTTAAAGGAGAGTTAATGAAATGAAATACTTGTACTACCAAAGTAGTATGGCGTTATAGGTTTCTTTTGGATAATCGAGAAGTTTCATTTCTTGTAGTTTGAAAAGGATTTTGGAGTATTTATTGCTCTAATTCAATACTCGACCTTTTTTTTTTTTTTTTTTTTTTTTTTTTTCTTTTTTAGATTATTTTTTTATTACTCCTATTATAATATTATATTGTTAGTATGAGTATTTGTTTTGTTATATACGGAGTTTGTTGAGAGTGACGGGATATATAACTCAAGTGGTTAGTGCTTCCCTCCCGAATATGAAATTATGTTATTTTATTGACAAACACTAAAATATGGTGTGGAGATAACGGAGGGTAATTGTTGATTATTATATTAGTGGAGAAAGTTGTTAATTATGTAGAGGGTTTGATTGATGGCGAATTGGTAATTTTATTGCAATAAGTTTTGAGAGATAAAAGCGATTGTGTTGTGTAAGGTCGAAACCTGTTATTATCAATCATTATATGTGTAAGGTTGATATGCTTAGTTTTTGTCGTTCTATGAAAGGTTTCATGTGAATATGTTAGTCTAATATCATTTACGATAACTCTAAATAAATGAAAAATAACTAGCATGGACCTCAAGCAACCTCTTCTAATACATGTACATTAATTTCAACTTTGATCTCTTATATGATGGTCGATCTTAGCTTCACGATACCATAAAAACGTCTCTTCACTGTTGGATACTTTCTACATAATTTTCTGAAGTCTATAGAGTAAGATAGCCGTAGACAAGTGTATACAATTGGCTAATACATGAGCTTATGACTTTTTGAGTTATGATACGCTAGAACTTGAACCATTATGACCCACTTAACCACCTTGATTTCAGGGCAATGATTTAAAATTAAACAATAAAGAATGGTTGGGCCATGCATTGGGCCTTTTATATGCTGTGCCTAACTCAAATGGCCTATTTTCAAATGTTTTATAACAAGATTTTATTACCTCTATTACATATTATGTGCAACTTTTGAACTTTTTATATATCATAAATTATACTCAAAAACTGCATATAATTAGAGCTGTTAAAAGCTGACCCGACCTGAAAATTACCCAAACCCGATTATTAATCGACCTGTTTGAACTCAGAAAAATGGTGACCCGAACCCAATATCACCCGACATGAAAACTACCCTAGGCCCGAGTTAATTCGAGTATTTGAGACTCGAACCCGAATATGACCCGACTTGGAGATGACCCGACCTGAATATAACCCGTAAATTATTGACCTGAACCGAACCCGACCTGAACCAAAATTGACCCAAACCCGTTATAACCTGTCAAACCCGAATTTAACCCGACTGGTTACTAACCCGACCCGAATTCAACCCTACTTGTTACTAACCCGACCCGAAATTCAACCCGATATGTTACTAACCCAACCCGAAATCAACACGACTTGTTATTGACCCGACCCAAATTCAACCCAAATTGTTCCTAACCCATTTCGAACTCAACCTAACCTATTATTGACCTGACCCAATTTTAAATCACCTTAAATTCAATTTAGACCACCTTATCAATATATAGTTATATAGTTACGTATTCATTTCTAAATTAAATCTACTAATAATATGATGTTCGCCACGCAAATAAGAATATAAGATTATATTATATAAAATTAATGACATCTTGTATGTGTCATTTGTGTAGTTGTGCGCTTGTGCAAACGAGTTATTATCAAAAGTTCAATAGTCAATAGTTCAATACATACGACTCCTTACATAAACTAATTATAGCTATTTACTCATTTCTAAGTGTTAGAATATATTTAGCATATATTCTCTGATTATTATATATATCTTTATTATTGTAGATATTGACTAGCTAAATAAAGATATATACAATAATTAGAGAATATATGCTAAATATATTCTAAGCTACTCGTAAAGTCGTAACTTTGTAAGGCTAAAACTACTCTATATACCCGAACCCGATATGACCCAACCTGAAATCAACCCGAGACCCAGATTAACCCAATACTTGAGACCCAAATCCGAACATGACCCGAGTTGGAAATGACCCGACCCGATTATAACCCGCAAATTATTGACTTGAACCGAACCCGAGAATGACCCTAACTCGTTTTAATCTGTTAAAACCTGAATTAAACCCGACGTATTATTCAGCCAACCTGAATGTAACCCAACTTGTTATTGACCCGACCTAAACCTGACCCAAACCCGATAAGATGTATGACCCGACGTGACCCGACTCAAGCATGACCCAACCCAAACCTGACCGCATAGGTTACGACATTAACCCGAATTGACCCGACCCGAGTTGACCTGACCCACACTAACATGACCCAAACCCGACCCATTTACCTGAATTGATAACTCTACACATAATATGTAACGGAGGTTATATTTCCATTGCTTGGTCTTGTACAAATATGGTCAAAATTTGGTCTAGTTTAGAAATTAGATCAAATAGAAAAATTCTGATCACATCAGATTATGTGAACTGAATTACTAGCTTAAGAGTTCAATTTTCAATAGAGACACTTTAATGGACTGTATTCTTTATTAATTCCCCTCATTATTTAGAGGGTCTAGTTTGCTAACCCTTGGCGAATAGACATGTGATGAATTTCATCCCACTAGAAGTATTCTTCTTACCTTAAAAAAGTAATTTCTTCATTTTTTTCGGATTAAATTGTTTCACTTTTACATTTTACAAATGCATGTCTTCAATCATTAGTATCTTTAGCAATCAATCAATAAAAATTATAATAGATATTTGGAATGTTATAAATTAAGACGAATCTAACAAACTATTTTTTCCTTACGAACAAAACTACATACCCTAGAGATTGTATATTGTGTGAATAATGTAACTTTAAAGTGTTTCATCTAAATAAATAGTAAAGAAATGCCCATCTATTAAAGGTGGATAGCTTTATCAAATCACGTTTATTCAAACTTTAATGAGTGATATCTGAAACATGGAGAAAGTTTATGGTTTTTTCTTAATGAAAACATAGCCCTTTTAGCTTCCTCTTGGACTCTTGATTATCTAGCTCGCCACATCAATCAAAGGTTTGATTCATCTTTAACGGCATTGGCTCAACCCATGACCCACTATGAGCTACTAGCCTACTAGGAAAGTAAGAAGTAGCCACACCATTTTTTGGACAGGCAATCACACCATAATAAACACTAAGAAATCATTCGTGTGTTTCTAAGAATTATCGTAGCCATACGCGGCATTAGGCAATTACATGACCAGTCTCCCCTTGTTTTTTCCCATAGGAAGACAAACCATAACTATGTAAAGATGTCTTCAAAAAAAAAAAAAAAAAAAAAAAACTATGTAAAGACATTGCACATATGTCATATGATCATTTTGTCCTACTTAACAACAAAACTTGTAGCAGATAAAATAGCTAGAAACAATCACTTCCAAAAATTTTATGGTGCAAATTGAAACTAATCTTCCTACCAATTGTTCATTATCTTCCTAATCCAATCCTCATTAAATTTTCCCCACCCAAATTTATAATTTGCCAGACATTTTCTGAATAAAATCAATGACAATATATATTTTTGAGTGGGAAAGCCTTTTGCATGTGGCTTATAAAGAAAGTTGTCTCCTCCATCCTTCTCTAATTTTTTTCCTCAAAAGCCATGCTTCATTTTATCAAAGTTAGAGCAATTATTCATTTTTATTGCCGTCCTATTCCTCCTGTCTCTTTTTCTGTTAAGTATTACCAATTCTTTTTTAAAGATTAAAAGATACTCTACCCCAAGCCGATTAGACCAAGATTAACGTCGTAAACCCATATTAAGAAACTCTTCCCGATAAATGTTGTTGCATTTAAAGAGCCGTAGCTCCAATTTGAAACATCTGATTAAGTTAGAACTAACTCGTTCATTAACTATTGATAATCACTTGTTGGTGTTAGATGACCAAATCAAGTCACATTAATTTATTAGATTTCCATTCTATTCTCCTCATGCCAAACTTATATTTTATGGTGGTAGTTATATAAACTCTTTCAATAACATTCCAAGAGTCATCCCAAATTCCCAATTCCATTGCTTGTTTCTCGCTTTATCTAAGCACCCTTTTGTTAACATCACCTTTTTCTTCCTTTTTCTCTCTCTAAATTCCTTTAATTTGGTACAATTTTATTTTATTTTATCAAAAACCCAACAGCAATAGATTCCATTTCTGTCTGTCAAAAGAGAAAAAACCCAAAAAACCCCACTAATTCCCTTTGAAGTTTTTAGCTAAATTTCATCTTTCTTGTAAAAAAGTTGAATCTTTCTGTAATGTATCTGTAATCTATCATCTGGGTATTTGATTCCTTCATCCAAAACTTTCTGGGTAATCCTCAAAATCTTTCCTTTTTAAGCAAAAGATGCCTCCTTCAAATTTTCCTCTAAGATGGGAAAGTACAGGGGATAAATGGTGGTATGCATCTCCTATTGATTGGGCTGCTGCAAATGGTCATTACGACTTAGTCAGGGAACTCCTCCGCCTTGACGGCAACCATCTCATCAACCTGACCTCCCTCCGCCGCATCCGCCGCCTTGAAGCGGTGTGGGATGATGAAGAATTGTTCGATGATGTTGCAAAGTGCAGGTATGAAGTTGCACACCAACTGTTTGATGAATGTCAGACACAAAAAGAAGGGAAAGAAAAGAATTCTTTGATTGTTGCAGGTTATGGTGGTTGGCTTCTATACACTGCTGCATCAGCTGGGAATTTGGGTTTTGTACAATACTTGTTAGGAAAATACCCTTTGCTTGCTTTTGGAGAAGGTGAATATGGGTTGACTGATATACTGTATGCTGCTGCTAAGAGTAAGAATCCTGAGGTTTTTAGGGCTGTTTATAGTTTTGCGGTTTCGCCGCGGTTTTTGGATGGTGAAGGGGTGGTGGAGGAGCAAAGGATTGAAGATGTTCCTATGGAATTTAAGACTGAGGTGAAGAACAGAGCTGTTCATGCTGCTGCTAGAGGTGGGAATTTGGTTGTTTTGATGGAGCTTCTTGCTGATTGTACTGATGTTTTGGGGTTTAGAGATGTTAATTGCTCAACTATTTTGCATTCTGCTGCTGGTAAAGGTCAAGTTGAGGTGAGGTTCTTGCTTTTTTGTTTTTAGCAATGTTATTTATTTTTTGTTTTTAATATGCTAGCTAGTTGACTTGTGTTCAAAAAGGTCGAATCCTCCTCTCAAATGCGGGTGCTTGAGGGTGAGGATCCCTTACAGTTCCCTCTCACTTCTAAGTGTCTAGCTCGCAAATACTGTAATGGAAATAAATCCACAAGAGTTAAGGTCTGGTTAGGGTCTTTCTTCTTACTTGAAGAAAAAATTAAAAACTAGTTGACTTGTGTTTTTATGTTGTTCTGTTTTTGGATGGATTTTTATTTTTTTATTTTTTTTTATCACAAAGTTTCAAGATCCCAACTGTCAAGTTTTGGTGTTAGATTTCTTGTTTGTGTTCATTCTTCTATTCATGAATGAAAGTGTTTTGGCTGGATTCATGACTTGATGCTCTTTGATGTAGCAACTGGTTGTCTAGTAAATGTGCTATGTGTTAAGACTATTGATATGAGGAAGACTTGTTTGCAACTTATGTATTGTTTGCAACATGGTTAGCTATCCCGAATAACATTGAAGTGAACTTTGTAAAGTGGCGACTTTTATGTGATTTAGGGGCGCATTGGCCTGGTGTGTACATGTATAATTGTGTACAATACATCCGTTTTATACAAGACCTATTTGATGTAGTATATTATGCTTTTGTGGAACAAACTTGGTTGCATAGTGAAGAATATCTGAGAAACCGAGGTAGATTAATACTTCTCTTCATTGTGAAGGGAAGAGAGAGAGAGAGAGAGAGAGAGAGAGAGAGAGGTATATGTTTTACACAAGTGGCTTGAATCCAACTCACAGTAGGGACACTGAAAAGTGTTGCTATACGACAGGTAATTCTATTAAGTCAGTGTCAGGCAGCAAACCAAGCCTGTAAAGTGGTAATAGTTGAGTAATAATATGTAACTCATAGGAGTAATAGAGGCAGTGACAATTCAAGTATTGAAAGATAATTTGTATTGGAATTCGCGCTTGTGGAGTGGTCCATGGTGGGCTTTTATTAACTTGAGGACTGTGATGGTTAGCAGTTAGCACCATGTTTAAATTAATATCTATACACTTAACCATCATGTACTTGCAGCCATCTGTGTCCCTCATTGCCTTCTCGCAGTGTTGGAGCATACTAGTAAGTAGGTAATCGTCATGTTATCTTGATAGAGGGAGATAGACAATGACCTCAGATTTATTGTGATACAGTATGAACCCTTGGTATTCAAGCTTCCTTTGTATAATCCATGATACAATTAAAAAATAGAAGGGAAAAAGGGACTCAACCTTAGACTCCTTACTGCACCTTTCTTGAAAAAAGACAATAGGTGAAACACCAAATGGAAAAGATCCTTTCGAAGTTAAGGATGATTTATTGCCTCAGTTCAAAACATTATAATTTGCAGTAGTTCATTTTCATATGGTTTACAACTCTTTATTTTACGGAGTATTTATTTGCTATCACTTAGAGAAGTTTTCTGTTCTTGCAGGTAGTTAAGCACTTGATAGCATCCTATGACATGATCTCTGCCACTGATGATAAAGGCAATACTTCTTTGCATGTTGCTGCATACAGAGGTCAGCTGTCTGTTCTCGAAGCTCTGATTCAAGCATTGCCTAAATCTGCCTTTGTAGTCAACAAGGCTGGAGAAACGTTTCTTCATGTGGCTGTTGCTGGTTTTCAAACTCCTGGTTTTCGCAGATTGGATCAACAGATTGAACTTATGAAGCAGTTAGTAAGTAGCAAACTTTTCATCATAGAAGATGTTATCAATTCCAAGAATAATGAAGGGAGGACTGCCCTTCATTTAGCCATTATCGGGAACATTCACTCCGATTTAGTACAATTGTTAATGAGTGCCCGCTACATCAATGTGAACATCCGTGATGATCATGGGATGACCCCACTTGATTATCTTAAGCGACAACCAAAATCTGCATCATCAGAAATCTTGATCAGACAGCTGATATCTGCTGGTGGTATATCCAGTTGCAAAGATTATGCCGTGAGAAAAGCATTTGCTTCTCATTTGAAGATGCAAGGCATTTGCAGCAGTCCTGGAACATCCTTCAGAGTTTCTGATAATGAAATATTCCTAGGCACAGGAATTGATCATGTAGTGCATCCTAGCCTAGGCCATTTAAGTAGAGAACGTTTTCATTTTAACTCCTCAAGTGAGGCAAGTCATTGTGGGTCACTTAGTGAGGAGGACCATAGAACTCCGGACATTAAGAAATCAGGCCCTCTACACAATGCAGCTAAGCGCCTTAAAACTATGTTCCACTGGCCATTGGTGAAAAGGAAAGAAACTGAGAGATCCAAGAGAACAAGGGAGAAAGATGAGAGTGTTTCTGATAAAAGGAGGAGCACCTCAGAGGAAACACCAATCTCGCTTAGAGAGAGATATTCCAATGCTTCTTCCCTTTCTAGTAATAAGAGAACACTTGCAGTGAGGAGTAACATATCCAGTCCTACCAACCGAAAGAGATTGGCTTCAGGGGTTGTTCATGATGCCTTGCAGGACCAGCTTATTGTGAACCTTTCATCTCAACCTTCCTTTTCCAAGTCATCACTTTCTTCTAATAGTTCTCTAGAAAAGGGAAAAGAAATTCATGTGGAAGATGAGAATGCTAGACCCTCTCGCTTAAAGCAAACCAGTGCTGATGTTGCCCCAAATGTGACGAGGAAGCAAGGATCCATGAACAAGAGATTTGTGAACCCAATTTTGTGCTTTGGCGGATCCCACTTATCAGTTAAAAACTCAGTAGGTAAGCACTGTACTAAGCAACCCGTACTTTCGGTTGCTTAAGGTTGACTCACCATAGAAATGGATCAGTAATAGATCGCCTTACATAGCTGTAAGTCTTGTAACTTTGTGTTTAATCACTACTTGTGATTGTGTGACCTCTGACTGTCATCCCTGAGTTTTATGTGATAGCTCTCTTGTAGATGACTGTAGTCTGTAAGATCACTTATGAGATGTGTTTGCCTCTAAACTATCTCCTGTAATATATTTGAGATCCTAGCTTTGTGATGCTAATATCTTAATCATGTATAACCTCCCATTAGTAATGGTTTTCCCTGTATAACTTTCGTAATAAAATTTTATCGATTTTGACTTACTCGTGCTCGACTTCAATTCTTCTATGAACACAATCTGATAACTATATATATTTATACTTTAGTAGACTTAAACCTTATACTACACATACATGACATAACTTGCATGGATCACTTTGCCTTTTATGTGTATTATTTCCGAACAGAGGGAGCTACTCTGTATATGACCTTCATAAGCATCAATGCAATTGAGTTCAATCCTTTGAAGGTTAAGCTCGGTTCGTATTGATTAGCCAATGTATGTAACTATGTAAGAAGATGCTAGGACATTTTCAGCTTCCCCTCTTTAATGAAGAGGCTAGCATTCAATTGTTCACTTCCTCGTTTGGTTGCAACTTGTTAGTAAACAAAGAAAAAAAAAATGATCATTCAAGCATTATACTTTTGTGTCTTTGTATACCTTTTCATCATGTTGTTTGGTGGGCTTGAAATAAAGCGAATTGAGAAAAAATAAATTTTTTGAATGATGAAATTCTTATAATAAAAAGTCGATCATGTTATAAAACATATTTATTGTGGATGGTCATTATGACTTGTAACACCCTTACTATAATGCCACCCATTGTAACCTCCTTGTAACCCCCCATTTGCTATTACCTCCTTTGTAACCCCCCCTTAAATGGAACCTTAATTGTCCATGAAGGTTACCTTATGCTCATCATGTATATATAACATGGTCTATTGAAATGAGAAGAATACAATACAATTACCTTCTACATCTCTCTCTAATATTCTCCCTTTCCCCTTATTTCATAATACGTTATTAGCACCATCTCCTTAATTATCAGGAATCGGAGGAAACATTATTGCTAGCTGGCTTGTTGCACCAACCTCAATTAATCGAGTTGACGAAATATACAATTCGTACACAATAGTTTTTGTCCCGTTGAGTGAAAATGTCGAACCTTGCCAAACTTGATTTCGTGGCCCTTGATATCACCGGAAAGAATTATTTATCATGGGTGTTAGATGCTGAAATACACCTAGATGTTAAAGGGTTTGGTGAAACAATCAAAAAGGCTAATAAGGCAACACCTCAATATAAGGCTAAAGCCATGATGCAGAAATGCTTGAATAGACATACTCCACTTTCCATGCAAATAATATTGTCCTGCAGACACAATATAGAGAAAAAGGTTTTCAAAAATATTCTGAATTAATATCTTGTCTCCTTGTGGCTGAGCAAAATAACGAGCTATTAATGAAAAATCATGAATTACGTCCTACTGGCTCTACTCCATTCCCTGAGGCGAATGTGACAACCCATAACGGGAAAGAAACTAAAAACAGAGACCGTTCCAGCAGTAATGGTCGAGGTAGAGGTCGCGGTCGCGGTTGTGGCCAATGGCGCAGTCGTGGTCGTGGATTTAGTGGATATGGTAGAGGTCGTGGAGGTCATTTCACAAACTCACATTTCCACCAGAAGTGGGAACGTAGAGATGATAAAGTTGATAAAGAGAAAAGTGAGACCAATATATGTTACCGTTGTGGAGTAAAAGGCCATTGGTCTCGGGTTTGTAGAATTCCAAAGCATCTTGTTGAACTTTACCAAGAATCATTGAAGAAAGGAAAGAAAGTTGAGACAAACCTTGTTCTTGAAGATGGTGAAGGTGATTTTGATTCTGGCAATACAAATCATTTAGAAGTTGCTGATAACCTTACTTCCCTAGAAGGGAATAATTTTGATTTTGGCAATACAACTCATTTAGAAGTTGCTGATTTCTTCACTGCCCCAGAAGGGAATAATTAAATTTACATTATTTTGTGTCAGTTTTAAGTATTAGACTTCATCTAGTGATTTACTTATGTTAATTTCTATGGTTGTAATAAGGACTTTTGCTTTATGAATTTATAAACTATTTGGGTGTTTTAATTGATTTATTTATTTTATCATCATTATTTTTATGCTTGATATTTTGACATGTATTTTATTTATGAAGAATATGGATACTACTCATCAAGTTCAGTTTGCTATGAATGGTGAAGAATTATGTCTTGCTCACAGTGCAACTACTCATACAATACTTAAAAATAAAAAATAGTTCTCTCATTTGATGATGAAAAGAATTAATGTGAGTATCATATCCGATAGTACAAATATCATTGAAGGCTCCGGAAGAGCAAACATAAAATTGCCTTGGGAAACTGAAATTAAAATAAATGATGCATTATAATCCCCACTATCTCAAAGAAATTTATTAAGTTTTAAGGATATTCGCAACAATGGTTATCATATTGAGACAATCAATGAAGAAAATAATGAATACCTTCAAATCACGAATATAACTCAAGGCACAAAACATGTTTTGGAGAAACTCCCTACATTCTCCACTGGTTTGTACTACACAAAAATCAATGCTATTGAAACTCATGCTATAGTAAACCAGAAGTTTACTGATAACTTTGTTGTTTAGCATGATCGGTTAGGCCATCCCGGTTCAATAATAATGCGAAAAATAATTACAAATTCATGTGGACATTCTTTGAAGAGCCAGCAGATTCTTCATAATAATTTTTATGTGCTGCTTGCTCAGAAGGCAAGTTGATAATTCGCCCATCACCAGCTAAAATTAATTTTGAATCAATTAGTTTTCTAGAACGTATACAAGGAGATATTTGTGGGCCCATACATCCTCCATGTGGACCATTTAGATATTTTATGGTTTTAATCGATGCATCGACTAGATGGTCACATGTGTCCTTGTTATCAACTCGTAACCTGGCGTTTGCGAGATTACTTGCCCAATTGATTAAATTACGGGCACATTTTCCAGATACTCCTATTAAGACTATTCGTCTTGATACTGTTGGTGAATTTACTTCTCAATCTTTCAATGATTATTGCATGTCCATTGGGATAAATGTTAAACATCCTATAGCACATGTTCATACACAAAACGGTATGGCAGAGTCATTAATTAAACGTCTTCAGGTAATTGCTAGACCATTGCTTATGAAATCCAATCTCCCAATTTTTGCATGGGGACATGCTATATTACATGCAACAACATTAATTCGCATCAGGCTAACAAGTTATCGCAAGTTTTCCTTATTACAATTGGTTTATGGTCAGGAACCAAATATTTCCCATCTAAGAATTTTTGGATGTGCGGTTTATGTTCCAATAGCTCCACCACAACGCTCTAAAATGGGTCCTCAAAGGAGGTTGGGAATATATGTTGGATTTGAATCCCCGTCAATAATTAAATATCTTGAGCCTACAACAGGGGATTTATTTACGGCTCATTTTGCAGATTGTTATTTTAACGAGTCACTTTTCCTAACATTAGGGGGAAAAAAAAGAGAGTTGGAAAAAGAAATTAAATGGAATGAATTATCAATATCCTATCTTAATCCTCGAACTAAACAATGTGAACTGCAAGTTCAAAAGATAATTCATTTACAAAGTTTAGCAAATCAATTGCCAGACTAGTTTGCTGACCCAAAAAGAGCGACGACTAAGTCACATATTCCAGTTGTAAATGCTCCATTTAAAATAGATGTCCCGGAAGGACAAAATAAATTTGCTAATGAGTCTAAACCACGTCAGAAACGTGGAAGACCAACAGGTTCCAAAGATAAGAATCCTCGGAAAAGAAAAGGAGCAATGATTGATGATGGTCAAATTGAAGAAACAATTTCAGAAGGATCTCCTGAAGAGACCTTAGACATGATACAAGAAGAAATTCAGGTACCTGATAAGGAAAAAATTTCAACAAATTATATCATGTCTGGAATTACATGGAACCGATATCAAATCGACGTTGATGATGTTTTTGCATGCAATGTAGCATTAGATGTAGTGGATAATAATGAGTATCATGAACCAAAATCTATTGAAGAATGTAGACAAATAAATGATTGGCCAAAATGGAAAGAAGCAATTGAAGCAGAATTAAAATCTCTTGGAAAAAGAGAAGTATTCGGACCTGTAGTTCGTTCACCTGAAGGTGTAAAACCAGTGGGATATAAATGGGTCTTTGTGCGAAAGAGAAATGAAAAGGGTGAAGTTGTAAGATATAAGGCACGATTAGTTGCCCAAGGATTCTCACAAAGACCCGATAATGATTATGAGGAGACATACTCTCCTGTGGTGGATGCAACTACTTTTAGATTTTTGATTAGTTTGGCAATAAGAGAAGGACTTGACTTACGTTTGATGGATGTAGTCACAACTTATTTATATGGCTCACTGGATAATGACATTTACATGAATCTCTATAAGGATTCAAGCTGCCAAAAGCAGCAAAATCTAATTCTCGAGAACATTTCTGTATTAAATTGAACAAATCTCTTTATGGATTGAAGCAGTCTAGGCGTATGTGGTATAATCGTCTAAGTGAATATTTGTTAAAAGAAGGTTATAAGAATGATCATATCAGCCCATGTATTTTTATAAAGAAATTTGGATCAGGATTTTTATGATTGCAGTGTATGTTGATGATTTGAATATCATTGGAACTCCTGAAGAGATTTTGGTGACTGTCGACTGTTTAAAGAAAGAGTTTGAAATGAAAGATCTTGGAAAGACAAAATTTTTTCTTGGGGTTACAAATAGAGCACCTAGAGAATGGAATCCTTGTGCATCAATCAACATACATGATAATAGTTCTTAGAAGATTTTCTATGGATACAACACATCCATTGAGAAGCCATATGGTTGTAAGATCACTTAGAAGGACCCTTTCCGACCTCGAGAAAATGATGAATAAATTCTTGGTCCTAAAGTGCCATACCTAAGTGCAATTGGAGCACTAATGTAGCTTGAAAGTTATACACGACCCAACATATCATTTTCAGTTAATTTATTAGCAAGGTTTAGTTCATGTCCAACCTGAAGGCATTGCAATGGGATTAAACATATACTTCGTTACCTTCAAGGTACGAAGAATATGGGTTTATTTTTCCCTAAGTTGTCCAAAGAAAATTTGATTGGTTTTGCAGATGCAGGTTATTTATTTGATCCTCATAGTGCTCGATCACAAACTGGATATGTGTTCACATATGGTGATACTGCCATTTCTTGGCGTTCCATGAAACAAACCATTGCAACTATTTCTTCCAATCATTATGAAATTTTAGCAATTCACGAGGCTAGTCGTGAATGTGTTTGGTTAAGGTCGGTAATTCAACATATAAAAGAAGTTTATGGTTTATCATCCGGGAAAGAGGCACCGACAATTCTATATGAGGACAATGCAGCTTGTATTGCTCAACTTAAGGAAGGATACACTAAAGGTGACAGAACAAAGCACATCTCACCCAAATTTTTCTTCACTCATGATTTTCAGAAGAATGGAGATATAAATGTTTTGCAGATTCGTTGAAGTGAGAATTTAGCAGACTTATTCTCTAAGGCTCTTCCAACCGCAACATTTAAAAAGTTAGTTTATCGTATTGGATTGTGTAGTCTCAAAGATCTTCAGTGATATAATAATGAGGGGGAGTAATTGCACGCTGCACTCTTTTTCCCTTATCCATGGATTTTTCCCACAGGGTTTTTCCTAAAAAGGTTTTTAATGAGGCAGCATATGTGCGCATTAAATCTATTTTAAATAATGCCCATCCAAGGGGGAGTGTTATAAAATATATTTATTGTGGATGGTCATTATGGCTTGTAACACCCTTAGTATAATGCCACCCATTGTAACCTCCTTGTAACCCCGCATTTGCTATTACCACCTTTGTAATCCCCACTTAAATGTAACCTTAATTGTCCATGAGGGTTACCTTATGCTCATTATGTATATATAACATGGTTTATTGAAATGAGAAGAATATAACACAATTACCTTCTACATCTCTCTCTAATATTCTTCCTTTCCCCTTATTTCATAGTAGACCAAAAATAATTAGACTTTTTATTGATTAAATTTAGAAAAAGAGTACATTCCCACGTAAATTTAATACATCAAACAAGCAAATTTTGTAATGACAAAGTTGTGACATGCATGTAATCTTAAGATCGATGGGCGGTTTAAGATCCTTTTCCAACAGCCGACAAAAATTGACTGGATATTATCTGGAATTCTGGATACTAATCTCACAATAAAGTATATGATTATATGCCTAATACAATAAAGTTTAATAAAAATGATGATTGATGATGCCTTTAAGGTCCACCTGTTAATGGAAACATCACTTTAAAGTGTAAGCATTTTTTCTATGCAGATTTGCCTGTCTTGTGGACCAACCGACCCTAACCATTAATTTTTTGTTAGTAAACCTTAAATAAAGAGTCGATCAACAAGTGTTTGGATCAACTAATTGATAAAAGAATTCTTTTTATTATTAATCTGATAATTTAAATCATAGCTTAAGAACGTATTAATATTTGCTCATGAAAAGTTTATTTCGTTCTGAAATTGACATAAACTAAAGTTAAATTAGTTTTCATAGTGTAGTAATCAGATTATTAGACGGTTTAACCTAAAAAAAAAAAAGGTTGGATAATTATTTATATTGACAAAAGAAAAAAAGGTCTATTAGGTATTATTGGGAAACTATATAAGCAATTCCTTACCTCATTGGCTATTGATTCCAGCCTTCCAGGCCTTGGTAGTCATCAGATTATTGGACGGTTTAACCTAAAAAAAAAAAAGTTGGATAATTAGCTATACCGACAAAAGAAAAAAAGGTCTATTAGGTATTATTGAGAAACTATATAAGCAATTCCTTACCTCATTGGCTATTGATTCCAGCCTTCCTGGCCTTGGTAGATCTTTAACTAGATTGAAAAATAGTTATACATATTAAGGAGGATAAAACTCGTGCCGGGTTGACTTGTGAGGGGTTCCGACCCGATAGCCTTAATTGCACCACCTATAGAATGTACTCTCTATGTTCCACATAATCATTTAATTTACATGTTCAATCAAAAATCTTTTCCTTCTTTTGCCTTATTCGTTTTGGCACAATTGTTATTCCGAGTTCACCCTAATAAAGTTAATTTACCTTGTGTTCTTTTGTTGTTGAAGCAACAATGGAAGGAAAGATCATTGTAGTCTAGCTTGTATGTAGAGCATAATGGGAACATTGGTTACACAATATTACTCCGTACTTTACACTTTGTATATGATTAGATATGTTTCCTTAAAATTTGAGGTGGTAAACAATTCTATTGTTGTTTAATACTTTAATTTATGACTTAGGCGTACATTAAGTCTTTCTCATTTGTTAGATATTGTACATAAAGCTTCATCTTCACTTCTTTCACATAGTTTAGTTCTCAAGAAATAAATTCAATGACAACTTTTATACCGAGGAAAAAAATTACTTAAGAATCATGCAAATAAAAAAAAAAAAAAAAAAAAAAAGCGTGCTTGATTTTCACTCACCAAAAATAACTTTCATGACATTCAACAAAAAGAATCCTATGTCACAAACAAATAAATTAAAAAAACCATGCACATAGGCAATGGTATACACAATGGAATAGTAAAGGATAACAAATAAATATGATAAGCAAAGGCCTATAACTTCACACTCTATGTATTTCACACTGTTATTTTCTGCATCAATAATACTCCACTCTTAGTACATCAGAGGAAGGTATGTATGCACACTTAAATCCCATGACAACAAAATAAAACAAGACAAAATGTATCCCAAAAGAACAATACAATACTAACTCCATAGTACTTTAATTCCTTATGATGTACTTGTATATAATGTATAGTGTGTTGAGCCTAGATGTCCTGATCGATAAGGTAGTCGCCCAACCTCTCCACAACTATGTTACATTGTCCTGGAGTCACTGGCTCGTTGTAGATTCCGAAGACTAGAGCTTGGTTAGTCTTCTTAACACACACACCACCCGGTCCCTGATAACACAAACGAATGTGGTATAAGTGTTAACATGTAAGAGATGCAGACGAAATACTCTGTATATTATATTGTACCTAAAAAAAATGCAACATGACCTTATGTACCACAATTTGAGGAAATTCTTTTATAAATGTTCTCAATTTTTTGTTTCTTTGATCAACAATTCTTTGAAATAGCAACGCGATGTTGCTGGACAAATGGTCACCATAACTAAAAATCCGTAATCTATATATGTTAAGTCTTATATAAGAATGTGTTTAGGAGATTAAAGGGAGCAATCGATTATACGATTTACCTTCTTCCCACGAATAACAGCTCCAGGCTCTCCCTGAATAACCATGTACTTTTCTCCTCCAAGGAAAAGACCTGTGGGTGCCAACGTATTTGGTACGTCGAATTCATTGACAATTGCCTTCACTTCTTCTTGCTTCAACTGCAATCAATTGCCAATGCAAAAAAATTAATCAAGCAATTTTTTTTGTACCACATACCATTTACATACATCCCCTTCTCTTATTTGTCTCGTTTGACTTTTTTGTAACCTTTGCTACAAAAGTCCGACAGGGGAGAGGTAAGAAAATCTCCCTAGTCCGAAGCAATTTTAGTTGGTGCGGTTTAAACTTGTGATCTCAAAGTCACAAATATTAACATACTCGTAAAATATTTGATCATAAGATGTAATAATAAACTAATGAAAATTGCGTAGAATATAACAGCAAAATGATACTATAACTACGAAGTATTATCAATTAATCATATTCCTTCTACTTTTCATTAAACATACAATTGTTAAAAAATAAGAAAAAACCTTACTTCGAAACCATCTAACAAAACACGGTCAACATCTACAAAGTTTGACCATGAAAAAGCACATGTATGATCACGTTGAAAAATATGTACATCGCAAAAATAACACCATCTAAGGATTACATATATACCTGGGGGAAGGTGGAGCTTTGAGCCCAAACGCTACCGTCCAAGCCGACGATAGCGGCGGCGGCGAGGTGGTATTGGGTTTCTTCGATGGGACACATCAAGTGATCATCGACGTAAGTTTGCCACGACATTGTTATGTTGTCAAATTGATAGATTTATTTCTCTTTGAAAGAAAAAAAAGGTTGGTAGTTTAATTGAATTTGTTGAAATGGGATAGATGATGGTGTAAAGAAGAGAGGGAAGAAATGGCAATGTGATCACAGGTCATAAATAGGAGGAGAGAGAAAATAATGCTAAAATTATTTTGAAAAGTCATCAATCAATAATATTGGTGCATCATCATTTGCCCCATTAAATTAAACCACCCTTATAATTGAATTAGTGCCATTCACGTCCTCCTCTTTTTTAGGCCTTCTTTCCCTCTTACCTTCCACCTCTCTTCTCTTTATCTACTTACATTTATATTTTAAATTTTTTTCATGCTCAAAATATAAAGTGAATTGAGTTTTTGGAAACGGACAGAGTATATATATTGAACATATTTTTTATTATAAATAAATTCAAATTTGTTAAAAAATTTACCGATAGAAAAGTTTTGATTAATAAAAGGAGTAAAAGAGTGAAAGAAGATGGGTGAAATTATTGTAGTGTTATCATTGTATTCTTACTTCTATGGCATTGTATTTATAGCCATGAGTTACACTAATAATACAATAATTACTCACATAGAGCCATATGAGTTCACAAGTGTTTGGACCTATATGAGCATTGTGTAATCAAATCAATAATTGACATTCACTTATTAGACTTATCTTCTAACACTCCCCCTTGAATGCCACTAAAAATCTTGTTAGGTAAAACTTTATGGGATAAGACCCATAGCCAAAAGAGTACACCAATATTATTGTATTATATGCTTTGGTATACTGCCTCGTTAAAAACCTTGTCAGGAAAAACCCGGTGAGATAAAAACCTGATCGAAGGGAAAAAGAGTGCACTACATATAATACTCCCCCTGATCTCAGCATAGTTCACGAAGATGTCGCATTCCGATTTTGTGAACTAACTGTTCAAATTTCTTCGAAGGAAGTGATTTGGTGAAAAGGTCGGCAAGATTTTCACAAGACTGAATTTGCTGGATATTTATTTCCTCGTCCTTTTGCAGATCATGTGTGAAGAACAGTTTTGGGGCAATATGTTTCGTTTTATCTCCTTTAATATATCCTTCAGTTACTTGAGCGATACATGCTGTATTGTCTTCAAAGATGATGGTTGGGTCTTCTGTTATTGCGTTCATTCCACACTCCTTTTGGATATTACTGATCATCGACCTCAGCCACACACATTCCCGTCCTGCTTCATAGAGGGCTATCAACTCTGCATGATTTGATGATGTCGCGGTCAATGTCTGCTTTGTTGATTTCCATGATATTGCAGTGCCGCCATAAGTAAATACATATCCATTTTGTGAGGATCTGATAAGTATCCAGTGTCTGCATACCCAATGAGAGCAGCATCTTGTTTTGGTTGGTAATATAAACCAAGGTCTTGTGTCCCTCGTAGGTACCGGAGTAAGTGTCGAACTCCCTTCCAATGCTTATATGTTGGTGCATTGCTGTGCCTGGCTAACAAATTCACAGAGAAAGCTATGTCGGGTCTAGTATTGTTAGCTAAGTACATTAAGGCTCCAATTGCACTTAAGTATGGTACTTCTGGACCCAGAATCTCTTCATTTTCTTCTCGGGGTATGAATGGATCATTTTTCATATTCAAAGAACGAACAACCATTGGGAAGTTGGTTGGGGTTGCTTTGTCCATGAAGAAACGTTTCAAAACTCTTTCTGTATAGTTTGATTGATGGACAAAAATGCCATGACTCAAGTGCTCAATTTGTAGTCCAAGGCAAAATTTAGTTTTCCCAAGGTCTTTCATCTCAAATTCTTTCATCAAGTATTTTGCAGTTTTCTCGAGTTCATTTGGGGTTCCGATGATATTTAAATCATCAACATAAACTGCAATGATAGCGAATCCTGATTATGATCGCTTTATGAAAACACATGGACTAACTTGGTTGTTTTTGAATCCTTCTCTCATAAGGTATTCACTCAGACGGTTGTACCACATCCTTCCAGATTGTTTCAATCCATAAAGTGACCTTTTTAGTTTTATGGAAAGCAGTTGTCTAGGCTTGTGGTTTTCTGGTAGTTTTAGTCCTTCGGGGACTTTCATGTAAATGTCCGTATCGAGTGACCCATACAAATACGCAGTCACTACATCCATTAATCGCATTTGCAGTCCTTTTGTGACTGTTAAACTTACCAGAAGTCTTAATGTAGTTGCATCAACCACTGGAGAATATGTTTTCTTCATAATCAATCCCTGGAATTTGAGAAAATCCTTGGGCTACAAGTCTTGCCTTGTATCTAACTATTTCATTTTTCTCATTACGTTTTCTTACAAATACCCATTTGTATCCAACGGGTTTTACACCTGCTGGTGTAAGGGTTATTTTCCCAAAAACTTCTCGTTTTTCAAGTGACTTTAACTCAGCCAGCATTGCCTCCTTCCACTTTGGCCAATCACTCCTACGTCGACATTCTTCTACAGTTCTTGGTTCAACATCATTTTCATCAGACACGATGTCGATTGCGATGGAATTTGCAAATGTTTCATTAACGATAACATCTTTCCTATTCCACTGAGTCTTTGTAGAGACGTAATTCATTGAAATTTCATTGTTATCGATGTTTTGAACATCTTGTTCATTCCCCGTAGGGTTGTCTTCTTGTTCGTCCCCTTTTGGATTATCATCATTTTCTTTACTTTCATCCACATTTGGTCTTTCTTGACCTTCTGACGGGGGAACATTATTAGTCTCATTTTCTATTCCATCCAATCTTTTTAGTTTCCTTGGCTTAGAATCTTTTGAACCAAGTGGTCTTCCACGCTTTCTGCGTGCTTGAGATTCATTTTCTATGGCCTTATTACCAGTTGGGATTTCAATACGTGCAGGGGCATTTTCTGCTGGTATATGTGATTTTGTCACCTTCTTTGTGTCTACAAATGCATCGGGCAATTGATTTGCAACACTTTGTAAATGAACAATTTTCTTAACTTCTTGTTCACACATATTTGTTCGTGGGTCTAACATCAATAGTTGTGTTGCATTCCAAATGAGTTCAATTTCTTTCTTATGTGGGTCCACTTTCTCTCCCCCTAAGGCTAGGAATACTGTTTCATTAAAGTGACAGTCCGCAAATCTAGCCGTAAATAAGTCACCAGCCAATGGTTCAAGGTATTTAATTATAGAGGGGGATTCAAACCCGACATAAATTCCCAGCCTTCTTTGTGGACCCATTTTTGTTCGTTGGGGTGGAGCAATGGGAACATATACAACACAACCAAAGATTTTTAGATGTGAGATACTTGGTTCTTGACCACAAACAAGTTGTAGTGGTGAGAATTTATGATAAGCTGTAGGTCTCAATCTAATTAGCGCTGCTGCATGTATTATAGCATGTCCCCAAGCAGATGATGGAAATCTTGACCTCATTAATAATGGTCTTGCAATCAATTGTAATCTCTTAATTAGTGATTCAGCTAGACCATTTTGTGTATGAACATGAGCTACTGGGTGTTCAACATCAATTCCAATTGACATACAATAATCATTAAATGTTTGGGATGTAAATTCCCCAGCATTGTCAAGTCTTATTTTCTTTATTGTATGATCTGGGAATTGTGCTCTTAATTTGATGATTTGGGCAAGTAATTTTGCTAAGGAAACATTTCTACTTGAAAGTAGACTAACATGTGACCATCGTGTAGAGGCATCAATTAAAACCATGAAATATCGAAATGGTCCACATGCTGGATTAATTGGCCCACATATATCTCCCTGAATTCTTTCCAAGAATTTTGGAGATTCAGTAGCAATTTTGTTCATAGATGACCTTATTATTAATTTGCCAAGTGAACATGCAGAGCATGTTAATTCATCTGATCGGGGAATTTTGACATTTCTTATTGAATGTCCAACTGAATGTGCTATTATTCTTTGCATCATCCCAGTTGCTGGATGTCCCAAACGATCATGCCATAAAATAATCAAATGTTTGTCATCTAACTTTTGGTTAGATATCATATTGATTTCCACGGGTCGTATGTTTATACGGTATAACCCCGAAGAGTATGCTGGCAATTTCTCATATATATGTTTCTTGCCATGTTTTTCTGCCGTGAGGCATATATACTCTTTTTGATCTGTCGTCATTGTTTCTAGATGATAGCCATTTTGGCGTACATCTTTAAAGCTTATGAGATTTCTTCGAGATTTACTCGAATATAAAGCATTATTGATTATTAATTTTGTTCCATTTGGAAGCATTATACAAGCCTTTCCAGATCCTTCAATTAATTTAGCTGACCCAGAAATGGTGTTTACATTTGCTTGAAACAACTTTAGTTGTGAAAAATATTTTCTATCTTTTAAGATAGTATGTGTTGTTCCACTGTCCAAAAGGCATTGATATTCAGAACTAACTTCAGGTAGATCCATATCTTCATAAAATAAATTTAAGATTAGTTTAGAATAATATCATACAAACTTTTATTGATGATAAAGATTTAAAGTACATGACTAGAAATTTAAAATACAGGGAACTAAGAAAATACATTAAAACATAGCATATGTTACATTAGTAGATGGGGAACCTAAGCATTGTTGTTTTCTCCAAGAATGAAATCATTCCCAGTTTCAGCATTGTCCATGAAGAAATCGGACACATCAAGGGTAGGACATGGAGCATTTTCTTCATTAACATAATTTGCTTCTGCATTTTTCTCTTTGCCTTTTACAGAAGCCTGGTAAAGGTCTACCAAATGTTTGGCCGTACGACAAGTATGTCCCCAATGTCCTGTCATGCCACATCTGTAACATGTGTCTTTTCCTTTTGAAAGAGTTTGTTTGTGGCTTCCAGATGACTGTCCCTTCTGTTTTTCAAAATTTTTGAAATTACTGTTTCTTTGAAAATTGTTTCTACTACGTCCTCGGCCTCGTCCGCGATAATTTCCACGACCTTTTCCACGGCCATTGTAATTTCCACGTCCACCTCTTCTTGTAGCATTTGACTCGGGTGGATAGGAATTTGTTGCATTTGCCTCATGATGAGTGGCCAAAGACCCAGTTGGTCTCAAGTTATGATTTTTCAACAAAAGTTCACTATTTTGTTCCGCAACAAGCAATACACTCATTAATTCATTGAACTTTTTAAAACCTCTTTCACGATACTGTTCTTGCAACAGTATGTTACTTGCATGAAAGGTAGTGAGTGCTTTTTCAATCATCTGTTCATCCGAAACTGGATGATCACAGTATCTCAATATAGACACTATCTAATGTATGGTTGAATTATAATCATTTATAGATTTGAAATCCTGGAACCGTAAATTTGTCCAGTCAAATAATGCCTTAGGAAGGAGCACCCTTTTGTGGTGTCCAAATCTTTCATTAAGGCAATCCCATAATTCTTTGGGATCTTCAACCATCATGTACTCAGTTTTAAGGCCTTCATTTAAATGATGCCTTAACAACACTAAGGCTTTTGCCTTATCTTGTTCAGTAACGGGTTTTGCAACAGTCATTGCAGAAGTGGTAGTATCAGTTGTTTGACCAGAGGGACTTTTATTTTCTTTAACAGCGTGCTCCAAGCCTTGAGCTTTCAAATTCATCATTGCGTCCACTTTCCATTCCAGAAATTTCTTTGCAGATAAATCTAAGATGCTGAACTGTCTTTTCATAAGGTCTCCCATTTTAGCTACAACAAATTTCGTGATAATTAGTTTATAATAACAAATTATATGTACAACTCACATGTTTAGTTCTTCCATATTTATAATTAAGTTAATAAGACACGTGATAATTAAATTTAATAATAATAAACCATAAATAATATAGTATTTTCTCCCCCTTGGTTTATTATTGTGAGTAATTATATGATTAGACAAAAATTAATCATGTTAGTTGCAAAAAAAACAGCAAAACGACAACAATGACAGTAGTAACAATAATTATAATGATAACGGTAATATTATACAATGATGATTAATAACAACAAACATACATAATAAAACAAAAACAAGCTTTTAATATACTAAAACGACAAAATAAGTGAGTTTTACTTATACATAATGACAAAAATTAATATTGCTACTAATAAAATTACAAGCGCCGTAATTAGAAGGAAATATTGTTTTATCTTCATTAAATCTTCCTCAAAAGTGAAGTTGTGGGTGTTTTGGGTGTTTTGGTTGCCGTCGTCGGGGAACATGTCGGAGAAGAAGGGGGTGAAATTTTTTTTTTTAGGTGATTTTTGGATAAAAAGTGGGAAGGGATAAGGGATTTGTGGTGAAATTGGGGGAAAAATCCGTCTTTTATAGAGGTAGGTTTATCCGTTACTGTTCTGTACAACTGTAAAAATATCATATAATAGTCTAACATACTGACATAAAATTATGGTCCATATATATATATTTATAATTGTAAAAGGTTATCACACTGGGAATGCAAGCCATAGTGGTCCGAGAGCCCTAATATCTATAAAAGATCATGGGTTCGAAAACGGAAAGAAACACAAAAAGTATGTAAAAGTAAGAAAAATAATAAGTATAAAAGGCTGCATCTTTTTGTTAATCTAGTTAATAATAATATGCATGCAAAGCTACTACTTAGCAATTATAATAACTAAGATAAAAATTTACGTAAAATGAGTATGTAATATCAACATGGATCAAACAAAGAAACATCAACATGAATAAACAAAAGATGATAGTAGTAAATTCACAAGTAAGAGAACTTTCACCGTTGTTTTTGAGGTATATATAGTAAATGTTTGAGTTTCTGTTATAGAGGATTCCCAATATGGGCAACTATAGAGCATACTCCTCGAAAAATTTATAAGTAGATAGTATTATTTGTTATAAATTTTTAGAAGTAGGTATAAATATACCTGACTGAAAACTGGTGCTGATAACGTGTTAAAGAATTTACCGATAGAAAAGTTTTGATTAATAAAAGGAGTAAAAGAGTGAAAGAAGATGGGTGAAATTGTTGTAGTGTTATCATTGTATTCTTACTTCTATGGCATTGTATTTATAACCATGAGTTACACTAATAATACAATAATTACTCACATAGAGCCGTATGAGTTCACAAGTGTTTGGACCTATATGAGCATTGTGTAATCAAATCAATAATTGGCATTCACTTATTAGACTTATCTTCTAACAAAATTACAATTATCATATGCTATCAAATTTCAGGGTTCAAGGTGCGTTTTTACTCCCATAAACTTTCATTAAATGTAAACTTTATTACTTGAGCTAAATCAGTTAAATGAACCTATTTACTATTCTTTATTATAACTTATTTTAGTTGTAAATTGAACTTAGTAGCCTTATCCCTACCTTTTTAAAAGTATGACTAAACACTCGTGAATAGTATTAAGTCAATTATGTCACTCAAAATTTTTTCCCCTCGTGAGGAGAGCCTTCTAATGTTTATTTTTCTTAACTGTTTTAAAAAATAAAATAAAATAAAATTATGCCCCTCAAAATGTTTATTTACTATATATACCCTTATATTATCTTGTTACTTTATTTTTATGAATAGTGTTGAGACAATTATGTCCCTTTACATATTTATTTACTTATTTGTCCTCATTAATTTTAATTGTCTCTATTTTGAACTTTTAAGAATGTGTACAAACATTTATACGAAAAATAAAAATATCGGATTTTTCACCATATGCCCCTGAGTAATTTTGTTATTCACTATATACTCGTGAATTTTTTTAATTTCGCCATATACTTACGAGTTTTACAAAAATGTCACCAAATGCCCTTGGTGACTAACAACAGTTAACTCCGTTAATCATTATGGTTAATTATGCCACATGGCGGCACATGATTGGTTGTTTAATAAATTAGTGAATCAATTATTAAAAAATTAAAAAAACTTTAAAATAATTAAAAACAACCACCCAACCACCCCCCTTCTATTGCCAGGCTGCCAGCCCCTCGTTGACGACCGGCCAGCGCCCTCCCATAGCCGGTGCAAGTTTCCCCCGTCGACTTCCCCCACCCTAACGTCCGGTACGTCCCCACCCATCCCTGAGACCTCCAAACCCTGTTTTCTCCTCCGCTTCGGCGTTGACACCGACCTGCCTTGCTCCCTCCCCCGCGATTGATATAGTACGTCGTCGCCCGTCTCCTCTAATCCACAGTTTCCCTACCCCAAAACCCCTTCCCTCCTAGTAACACTAAACCCGAACCCTTCCTCGAAACCACCATAAACAAAACCGTAAACGGTGGTTTTGGGGTAGGGGTTTAGGGTTTGAGGCGTGAAGGAAGGGGATAGGGTCGATTTAGGGTGGTGGAAGCAGGTCGGGGGTCAAGATTTATGGGGGAGGCGTTCGTGTCGGCGTGGGAGTGGGTGGGACGTAGGTGTCGGCACGGGGAGGGGGCTGGCATGTCGGTGCCGGTAGCCTGCTGGTAAGGAGGCGGTGGGCCGGGTCGTGGTTTTTTTTTTTTTTTTTTATATTTTTAAAATGTTTTTTAGATAATTAATTTTATTTTTTTTAATAATTAATCAAATAGTTTCAAAAACAACCAATTAGATACTGCCGTGTGGCATATTAACCTTAATGACTAACGGAGTTAACCGCCGCTAGTCATTAAGGGTATTTGGTGAAATTTTTATAAAACTCGTGAGTATATGGTGAATAAAAAAATTAATCAGGGGTATATGGAGAAAAATCCGTAAAAATATTTATTTACGTATTTTCGCTTACAAAACTAAAGTTGTGACATAAGTTCAAACTAAAAAAGCTAATCTGATGTGTCTAGATATGGCGTTAGCCTTCCTAGTTGATTGAAACAAATCCAACAAACTCACTACACATGACTTTATAATTCCTTATAGATTAATGAATAATAATGATTAAAATTTTTGAATTGAAACAAAGCGAGCAATATTTATCAATTATCACGGTCCACGGTGTTTATTATAATAATTTTACCAATTCATTTTATAACATACATATATAGATACTTCGTATGAATCATATGAATATGTGTTTGTTTTTTGGTCTCGGTAAGGAGGACCCTGATCGAACCTCAACCTTTACATTTTTTTGGTCCGGTCTTTGCGGGTCTGACACTTTAAGAGCGAGGGGGAAAGGTAAGAGATCCCCAGTCTCAAAGTGCCTCTAGTAGGGATTGAACCCCCAATCTCAAGGTCATAGTTAGTAATGGACCCGATGTACACGAAAACACAATTTTTATTAAAAACAAACCATACATGAATTACAACAGTTGATATATACTGTATCACTCTTATAATTTCACACGCACAATATATTTATTTCTCTCACTTGTATCAATCATGCTCACACTTTTTTTCACACATATATATACAGATATTTTATTTGGTGCAAACTTATTTCACACATATATATACAAATATTTTATTTGGTGCAAACTTATTTCACAAACGAACAAGGATAGGTTTTGTTTTCTTAAACAATACTGATGATAGAAGAAAACTGATTGATCGATCTGATGCGATACAGCTTCCCATTGCTAGGTCACAGTTAGCTCGCTATGCATCCCACGTCTGTGAAGCTGCAATGTCAAAAAAATGAACATTAATAACGTACACCAATATGCTATAATGAAGCTGGTTGTAAATTAAAAGGCTTGGACATAATACTGCCTCTGTTACTTATATGAGCAACAAAGAAATATTTTATATCTCACAAATAATACCCCTTTGTTGCAAATAATAAGAAACGGAGGTAGTATATATTTAAGTACGTATACCTATGGTAGAAAGAGCCCAATTACGGTCTTGGTGGAGACACCAAGAAAAATACCCGAGCAGCAAGGCCTTATTCTTGGCATAAGCAACCTTAATAGCAATGGTCTTTTGGTCATCAAAATCAATCCAATCAGTGCCGGCGTAGCAATAATTAGCAACGTAAGCAGGATCATACACAGTTATTGCACCATTTCCAGCGATGAAATGATGGATCTGATTAAACGTTCTCGCATTAGGATCTTGGTTTTCTACCACAATGGCTGGTGCCCTAATACCATGATTGTTAGCATTTTGAAGTTTCCATTGATACCCGTAAAAGGGTAAGCCGAAGACTAGTTTTTTAGCAGGCACACCCGCGTTAATCCAAGCAGTAATCCCATCACTTCCGCTTACAGTGCTGCGCGTTGGATCATAGAGCGGAGCATGGAACATAGTCACAACTGGCTGCGGGGGCCAAGCCGGAGAGTAAAAATCATAAGCCATGACATTAACCCAATCTAGGTTGTCGATTATAGCTTGTACAGGAAAAGGAACTCCTGTATATGCTACTGGCTTAAAACGAAGGGCCGCAGTTAGGAGCAAATGTGGAGCCCTACGGTTTATGGCGGCCTTCCATTCATACAGGAGGGTCGCCATATGGTTCATCTCATTAATCGTGGTCTGATTCTCCCAGTCCAAGTCAAGGCCATCGAAGCCATGAGTCGTAGCAAGGCTTATCGAGGACTCGATGAAGTCACCTCGGAGTTTAGGCATGCTGGCCATGGTGTCGAATTTTTTGGACCCAATGTTCCCTCCACCTATGGATAGGAGGACTTTTACCGACGGGTTCCTTTTTCGGACGATTTCGGGGAAGGTGGAGCATGTTGGAGAAATTGTGAGTATGTCAGTTCCGGTATTATCGAGGTTGGCAAAGGCGCAAAAAAGATGGGTGAAAAGAGTTGAGTTGATGTCTTCGGCTTGTAGACCACTGTCTTCAAGCCAATAGCCACCCTTAACCTCACTTGGTAAACGGTTTGAAGCCATTATTGCTTTTGAAAATAAATCAAACACAAGTTTTTTTTTTTTTTTTGAGAAATTAAGCACAAGTTAAAGCTGGAATTTGAGTGATGGAATTGATAATAGTGAGTAGAGTATTTATAGATAAAATTGGCGTTGAATTCATCTAGTAATGACTTCCTGTGTTACATATTTGATCTACTTGACTTTGTATTATATATATGCGATGTAATAAAATTTATCCAAATTGTTCCAATTCAACTATCAGCCACTTCATCATCTATTCCATTGAAAAGAGATGCAAGAAAGATTTAAATAAATCAACTAACAACACAGATTTATTTAGATATGCAATAGTCAATAGAAGAGTTTTTATTGGTCTTGAGGAAATTAAAGTACAAATTAAATCACAGAATAGTGGCTAAGTTAAATCCTAGGGGAGTTCATATATTCCCAAGACCTAAAATGAAATATGTCGAAAGTAGTCCAAAAATAGAAAATTTTAGCTCTCATAACAAATTATTGTAGAACAATTTTAATTTTAAGCCCATGAGAGATGTACAAATGTATGCTAAAATTTTGTATACCAATCGATCGCAATTAATTACATTCTTTTCATTCCTTAAATATCTTACCACTTCCTGTATCAAAGCTAATGACTAATGAAGAAATGAGGAGAGAGTGTGAATCCTTGAGGAATACGGAGTAGTTTTAGTGTGCAGGTTTGTTAATGTATTATTTTGACACGTATAATAAATATTTTTAATGGTATAAAAAATTATGTAATATTTAAATATTACGGAACACTAAATTATACATTGAGACAAATAAAAAAAAGCTAACATATTTACTAGTAGAAGATCATTCCCTCATCTTATATAAATGGTTCCAAAATTCCAAATGTAAAGAACAAAAGAAACTGAAGACAAAGTAGTAAACTTTCTTATTTTCTTTAATTTCTCTTCATAAAGGCCAAGTAAGGTTTAATCTTGTTACAAATTTTTAAATTCATGAGAGAAGACTTTCTTAACCTTGTATTTTGTATTCATACCTTAATTTCCTATTTGTAATGTAGTTCTATTAAATGTTATTTCTTAGTAATTAACAAGTTGACATCTTTTAATTTTGACATAACTCTATTTTTTCCCTATGGAGGTTATACTATGGAGTAAGTTTATGTTTTTCTGTAAGTACATACTACTACCTTAGTTTTTAAATGTTCGTTACGGTTATTTTTCATACAAATTAACAAAATGTATTAAATTGGGGGTAACATGTTGGAAAAAATTGATCCTTTTGTGTAGGGTAAGGGGGTAAATGTGTATATCATAACAAAAAAATGGTCTAAAGCAAAAATGTAGAAATCAAAAGGAGGAGGAATGTACATATGTAAAAAGTGTAAAGAATTTTAAGAAACAAAGGTACTCTGTTGTACATTGTTATATGTACCAATGTACCATGAAATAAAGCTTTATAACAATTTTAATTAAATTACATATATCCATGCTTGCCTACTTGATGTTTGATGATACTCCTTGCATTTAAAAACAATATGGGAATTAATGAACGAAAATTAACAATTGACAATCCAACAAACTCTTGGAATAATATAGAAGCAATTTGATACGGATTTCGTGGTGCAGGAGGTAAACCCACAAATTAAAGCAAGAAAAGGACTCTTCTTTTTTCAGTATAAAGCTAGGATGGGTTTATATGGTTATTAATAGGTTGTAGTATTAAAGTAATCATGCAACTTAAACATTAAAAAGATAAAAAAAAATTGTTTGTACTTATTGTTTCGGGGTTTTCTGATGTCCTGCGGGAGAGTTACAATTCCGAGACTGGAATCGGACGCCTGTACCTGCAAAACAACGGAGACTCCTGGTGGTGGGAGCTCCGCCTCCAACGGTCAAGTTAGTACTTGATTAAGGAGTAATTAATGCGGAAATTAAAGTGATTGGGTCTCTCTAGGTGAGAGTGTTTAATGTGAGCTTTTAGCGTAATCTGCTTTGTTAGCGTGATCAACCTATTCTCTCTGTAATTAATCTCTGTAATCAATGTAATCTCCGTAATCCCCCCTTAATGAGGATTAAGGGAGGTATTTATAACCTTGGGAAACGTGCCAATCCTAGGTTTAGGTTAACCTAGGGCTGATTGGGCTTCCCTCGGAAGTTGGGCCTGGGTGGCCGGTTTCTCCATTAGGCATGGAGTATGCCACGTGTCATGATATAATAGGTCCAAGGTGGACGAATAAGCGCGTGCCACGTGGCAAGCCCTGACAGTTCCAACTGGGGGACACTTGGCAGGACCTGATTGGCCCACGTGGCGCATTCCGATTGGTGGGAGCAAAATCCCCTAATCATTTGCCCCTCACAGGTGGCACGTGGCTGGTCACGTGTTTCCTGTGACAGGTGTCGAACTGTAACAGGCGACGGCCTGCTACAGGTGTCACTCGACGAAGGGCCGAGAGTTTCTCCCGCCCAAATTTTGAATTCTGGAAGTGACCCTTCGCCTTCTCACTTCGCCTATATAAAGGAGTGTTGACTTCAGTCATTTTCACACTTGAGAACTTTGTGAGAGAACATTCGGACCCCTGAACTTGCTCTGATATTTTAGACTTTTCTGCCTACCGCCTGCTCTGACAAGCCGACTGCAAAGGATTTTCAGAACTTCATCAATCGTCACTCGTTCAGGTAACTGTCGGTTCTCTTACTCTTAATTTTCTTTTTATTTTATTCTTTTTTTGAAATGGCACCACGGAAGCACACGACACGACCCAGGTTAGTGATCAGTCGGTCACCGGGGACGGCTGAATCTAGGAATAGGAGTGCCGCCTGCCCTTTTCCGGACCCATCTTTGCCCTTTATACAAAGTCCGACTGTATCTGTGTCTATGCAGAGCATGATGGCCAGAACAAAAAAGACTGCCAGGATCTCAAATTCAGACGGCTCCTCCCGCAGGGTGCCGATTAGTGAAACATCTGACCAGGCGCCAGATGTGGAAGTGAAACAAAGCGGCTTGAAAGCCGGCTACTCTGAGGGAGGAATCAAAGTGACCCCTTCCCATTTCTTAGTTGACAATTCTTCATTCTCTCCTGCTCCCTTTAAAGGAGAGGAGGCGGGCCCCTCCGGGAGAGGGGAGGAGTCGTCCTCTTCGGACTCGTCAGAGGACGATTCCGAGTCTAGCTCTTCTGGCCATGCTTCTCTGGACACAGAAGAGAAAAACAGTCGCCTGCAAGAGGCGAGGCTTTCTCACGCAGTTGAGAAGGGGGACAATTGGGCGGAGCCATCCGCCTCTTACCGAGAGCAAAATACCCCCTACTACTGCACGGTACCCCGGGGCCGGATCACGGCCATGCAAGAGAAAGTGGAGAGCTTTATCGCAAACCACACAATGGGCCCCGACTTTTTAGTGTTTGTGCCGGATCCAGAAGACACAGTCGTCTGGCCGGCTGGTACCAGTTATGATAGCGCATGCTTTGGCTGCTACGAGGCGGCCATCAAGGCTGGGCTGCGCTTCCCACTACATCCGGATGTTCAACGGATCTTGGATGGGTATGAGTTGGGGTTATGGCAGTTAGCCCCAAACTCCTGGGTCAACGTACTCGGCTATGTGGCCGGGTGCGAACTGCACGGGGTGGAGCCGAGCTTCGAGGCTTTCGCCCACATGAACTATCTCAGCCGGACCCCTAAGGCAGGCGGTACCGGCTGGTATCAATTGACGAGCCACAGGGGCTACCTCATGACGAGAGGTAAAACAAACAAATGGAAGGACTGGCGGTGCACCTTCTTCATCATTGAGAGTTCAGACACGGAGCTGAACAAGCGCCTCAACAGGTGGAACAGGAATCCGCCCCTTCTTGCAGGTGGCCGCAACATGCCGCCTGTTCCCCCCAAGGCTAAGAAATAGATCCTAGATAAAGGACTCTTTAAAGTAGAGTCGAGGGTCGACTCTACTTCAGGGGTACGAGAGCAAGTACCCCTGCACTGCGTCCCGAGCTTCAAATGGCTCTATGACGAGTACTTTTTGGCCGCCTGTGGCCTCAGCAGTCGGTCCTCAAGAGGTAGTCGGCCTGTCGAATACTCTGCTGTTCCGTGCATTTTTGTTATAACTTTTATTAACTTTGCTGTTTGTTTTTGCAGCGGACGCCATGAGCAAAATTACCGCCTCCAAGACTGCGGCGGCCATGTTGTGGGCCTCCATCATGCAACAAGCTTCAACCGACTCCCCCAAGAAGGGGGCACCCTTGGTTGGCTTCGAACCTTTCACCCTCTTTTTGGAGTTGTGTTTATGCATATACTGACTTTTTTCTTCTTTTTTAGACGGGCGCTCCAAGAGCTTCTTCTTCCCAACAGCCGGACCCCAAGGCCCGGAGGACGACTGTTGCGAGCTCTCCTGGTTCTGCCAGGAAACATGTGGCGGCTGAGAAACAGCCGGCCACTTCTTCTAAAACTCCAGCTGGGCCGCCTAGGATTATGAAGTTGTCCTTGTAAATTTTAGACTTGCTCCCTTTTTTACTAGGTCTAATCCGTTTGTTTATGCTTGATGCAGCCGGCCCTCAGGAGCCTGACTTGGTCGAGGTGGCCAAGTCTATGATCAAGGCCGTTCCTCCAGCTGAAAGGGAGGCGGTCAGGGGTGTCGGCACCCTTGACCTAGACAGGATTGCAGGGGTCCTTGCTGAGGTATACTTAGCATATTTTTGAGTATTTGAATTCCTGGACGCCTGTTTTCTTTTTTGTTTGGAAACTGACGCCTGTTCCTTTTTACTTAGGCCCTGCTCCGAGTGAACGGCCTTTGCAAGCCGCTTGACCGGAAGAACAAAGAGGTAAAGGCTGCAAAAGCCATGGCCGCCTCTAACTGTGATAAGGCAATGTTTCAAATTGCCCAAAATGAAGTTCTGACCATTGATATTATTTATTATCAGGCGCAGGCTACCGCCGCTATTTGGGCTGAGTTAGAGGCGGCCCAGAAGAGGAATGGCGAGTTGGAGGCGACCATCACCAATCTCAAGGCCGAGCTGAAACCTCTTCGCCTAAAGATGTACTCATACGAAGCCTTGGAGAAATCCTTGGCCAACGTAAAGGAACGCCTGGTGACCTAGGAGAAGAGTCTTACTAAGGA